CATTGTCATGCTGAAAGACCCAGCCACGTTTCATCTTCAATGCCCTTGCTGATGGAAGGAGGTTTTCACTCAAAATCTCACGATACATGGCCCCATTCATTCTTTCCTTTACACGGATCAGTCGTCCTGGTCCCTTTGCAAAAAAACAGCCCCAAAGCATGATGATTCCACCCCATGCTTCACAGTAGGTAAGGTGTTCTTTGGATGCAACTCAGCATTCTTTGTCCTCCAAACACGACGAGTTTAGTTTTTACCAAAAAGTTATATTTTGGTTTCATCTGACCATATGACATTCTCCCAATCCTCTTCTTGATCATCCAAATGCACTCTAGCAAACTTCAGACGGGCCTGGACATGTACTGGCTTTAGCAGGGGGACACGTCTGGCACTGCAGGATTTGAGTCCCTGGCGGCGTAGTGTGTTACTGATGGTAGGCTTTGTTACTTTGGTCCCAGCTCTCTGCAGGTCATTCACTAGGTCCCCCCGTGTGGTTCTGGGATTTTTGCTCACCGTTCTTGTGATCATTTTGACCCCACGGGGTGAGATCTTTCGTGGAGCCCCAGATCGAGGGAGATTATCAGTGGTCTTGTATGTCTTCCATTTCCTAATAATTGCTCCCACAGTTGATTTCTTCAAACCAAGCTGCTTACCTATTGCAGATTCAGTCTTCCCAGCCTGGTGCAGGTCTACAATTTTGTTTCTGGTGTCCTTTGACAGCTCTTTGGTCTTGGCCATAGTGGAGTTTGGAGTGTGACTGTTTGAGGTTGTGGACAGGTATCTTTTATACTGATAACAAGTTCAAACAGGTGCCATTAATACAGGTAACGAGTGGAGGACAGAGGAGCCTCTTAAAGAAGAAGTTACAGGTCTGTGAGAGCCAGAAATCTTGCTTGTTTGTAGGTGACCAAATACTTATTTTCCACCATAATTTGCAAATAATTCATTAAAAATCCTACAATGTGATTTTCTGGAGAAAAAAAATCTCAATTTGTCTGTCATAGTTGACGTGTACCTATGATGAAAATTACAGGCCTCTCTCATCTTTTTAAGTGGGAGAACTTGACTAAATACTTTTTTTCCCCACTGTAGTTGAAGACTGAAGGGTCCCTTTTGTGAGGGCAGATGTGTACTGAACAGAAATATAAACTCAACATGTAAAGTGTTGGTCCCATGTTTCATGAGCTGAAATAAAAGATCCCATACATTTTTCATACGCACAAAAAGCTTATTTCTCTCAGATTTTGTGTACACATTTCTTTACATCCCTGTTAGTATTTCTCCTTTCCCAAGATAATCCATCCACCTGGCAGGTGTGGCATATCAAGAAGCTGATTAAACAGCATGATCATTACACAGGTTTACCTTGTGCTGGGGACAAAAGGCCACTCTAAAATGTGCAGTTTTGTCTCACAACACAATGCCACAGATGTCTCAAGTTTTGAGGGAGCGTGCAATTGGCATGCTGACTGCAGGAATGTCCACCAGAACTGTTGGCAGAGAATTGAACGTTCATTTCTCTACCATAAGCTGCCTCCAATGTTGTTTTAGAGAATTTGGCAGTGCGTCCAACCGGCCTCACAACCGCAGACCACGTGTAACCACGCCAGCCCAGGACCTCCACATCCGGCTTCTTTACCAGCAGGATTGTCTGAGATTAGACACCCAGACAGCTGATGAAACTGAGGAGGATTTCTGTCTGTAGTAAAGCCCTTTTGTGGGGAAAAACCCATTCTGATTGGCTGGGCTTGGCTCCCAAGTGGGTGGGCCTATGCGCCCCTGCCCAGTCATGTGAAATCCATAAATTAGGGTCTAATTAATTTATTTCAATTGACTGATTTCCTTATATGAACTGTAACTCAGTAAAACCTTTGAAATTGTTGCATTTATATTTTTGTTCAGTATATATATATATTCATGAGGTTTTTCTTCTTGTAATAATTGTAGGATAATCTTGTGTTTTTAAGTATTGTATTTGTATATATTATACAGTTATCTTACTGTTTTAATTTTCTCTCTGTGAAGTCCTCAGCTCAACACTCCTCTTCTTCAGTCTTTACATTTTTATATTTTAGTAGACTCTCTTATCCAGAGTGATTTACAGTTAGTGAGTGCATACATTTTCATACTGGCCCCCCATGGGAAAGGAACTCACAACCCTGGGGTTGCAAGCGCCATGCTCTACCAACTGAGCTACAGGGGACTCTCTCTTTACAATATAATAGATGTTGTATCGCCATCTAGTGGACAGTTACAGTATTGACCATAATCTTACCTCTATTGGTTACCATCTACTGGACAGTTACAGTATTGACCATAATCTCACCTCTGTCGGTTACAATCTAGTGGACATGTACAGTATTGACCATAGTCTCACCTCTGTTGGTTACATGGTGAACCTACTTTTTGAATCTACTTTTAATTTTGTAACGTCTGGCTTTCTTTGGGTGCAAATAAAATTAATATAAAGACCCAATAGCAATTAATGTTTTTTTTGTACTTGTTGCTCCAAATGAACTCTCAGTGGGGAGGGTCTAAAGAGAGCATAAAGCATTCTGCCTAGGGGGATATGAAGCCCCAATAAAGCATTCTGCCTAGGGGGATATGAAGCCCCAATAAAGCCCCAGTAAAACACTGGCTGGGGGGATATGAAGCCCCAATAAAGCCCCAATAAAACACTGGCTGATGGCTTCATATCCCCCCTTCATAGCCTAGGGGGATATGAAGCCATCAGCCAGTGTTTTCTGCTCTTTAGCACTTACATTCTGAATGAGACACTTCCTTTAGAGATTAACAACTTCTTACCATCTCCTTGTTGCTAAATTTGACCCTCTCAACAAGGTTGACTTCAATCACAAATACTTCACGATTCATTAAATCAAGTAAAACACACATACCCTTTCCAAAACTAACAAACACAAACCATACAGAGTGAGACACACTGGTTGCCAAGCCTGGAGCACATGAGAATAATTTGTGGTGGTGTTTGGTGTTCTGAATCTGCACACTGTGTTCACACGATGTTAGTGCAGTCACTGCTCTCCTGATGGTAGTTTAGTAACGCCTGTGTTACTGTAACAATAACAATGCAGGGAGGCCTTTCTCATAATTTCATGTAGACCTACATTGCTACTCCATGGATTCCCATAGCTGTAGACAACACCTACCTTACCAATGTCCTGACTTTAACATTATCACTGGTCACTTAACTTGAAAGTGTGATGAACAAACAGCAATATCGGTCTCTGTGTACTGTATGTATGCACTGGAGTCATTTAAAGTGTGATGAACAGACAGCACTATCGGTCTCTGTGTACTGTATGTATGCACTGGAGTCATTTAAAGTGTGATGAACAAACAGCACTATCGGTCTCTGTGTACTGTATGTATGCACTGGAGTCATTTAAAGTGTGATGAACAAACAGCACTATCGGTCTCTTTGTACTGTATGTATGCACTGGAGTCATTTAAAGTGTGATGAACAAACAGCACTATCGGTCTATTTGTACTGTATGTATGCACTGGAGTCATTTAAAGTGTGAACCTGGAGTCCAGCTCCCAGTTTGGCTTTGGCACCATGCCACTCAGTGACACACTGTTTCATTCTAGAACTAGAACGGTGAGGGGGAAGGAGCCCAGCCTCTCTGAGACTCCACTGTGACCGTCTGTCTGTCTGTTTGTCTGTCTGTGGCAGGAGAGTAAGGAGCAGAGCAGGGTCTAGGAGCCAAATGGGTGAAAGAGCAGCTTTCTGATAACAACCCCAGCATGGTCACTAGAATGAGGACATGGAAAGAGTCAGCTTCTGCTCCATGGCTTTAGTTCGATTCCTACACCTCTTCAGTCCTGAAGTATAGCCAGGATCGTTAGTTTGATTCCTACACCTCTTCAGTCCTGAAGTCTAGCAGGGGTCTTTAGTTTGATTCCTACACCTCCTCTTCAGTCCTGAAGTATGGCAGGGGTCTAGGGAAAACACTCACATTCTTTTTCATATTCTAATAAATTTGTGTTTGTGTTTTTCAGAAGTAAATATGTACAGTAATCTGGCATGCCATAGTAAACAATGGTAGGCTACAAAATGTGTCTGCTCAGCGACAAGATTCTATTGGGTTCTCCATTTTGTTCATGTCATGTTTATGTACTTTCTAGATGTCAATGTAATTTACAGACACTGTCTAACAAAAAGTCAAAAACGGTTTGTTATTTTAAAGATGGTAGAGCGTGCCCTCAGAGTTGGCCTTCATTTCCCCAGAGAACCATCCTCCTTCCATACATTAAAACAACGGTTTATTTTCTATATGGAAGACGTTTACATTCCTATGAGGGAGAGCTGGATAAGATTGCATCATTCAATTAAGATGAAATAACGACAGTGTAAATAAAGAGTGTCTGAGAGCCCATCTCCTGTTCTCTGTAGAGACCAGGCATTCATTCAAACCTGTGTTGTGAAAGAGTTTTCAAATCAGGACTATATTAATAGAACTGAATCTCATACACACACATCTCTCTCTCTCCCTCTCCCTCTCTCTCTCTCTCTCACTCACATTCCATTCGATCAGTCCCTCAGTATGGGAGGCACAGAGCCTGCACAGAGTTGGACGTTCCAGTGTGCAGCCCCCCCCCCCCCCCCCATACAGACAGACAGGCAGACAGGAGGAACAGCACTGCACTCCATACAGCCAGCCATGCAGAGGAGGATACAACACAGATCATTCCACTGACTGACTCCGTAGTCTACATCACACAACTGGGTAGTGTGGTCCCTGGCTTGGATCTGGACCAGCTACAACAACTAACAAGACAACTGGTGGTGGATAGGGATGAGTTCCAAACTGAGACTTGAGAGGACTACTGATGGAAAGCGGTCATCCTTCTGGATCGACGGTCTGCCTCCCAACCGTCTGATTGACGACAGGACAGGAAGACATGTTGTGAAGAGAGACAGAAGACAGACAGTCTAGTTAGAAGATATAAAGGAGGACCGTTAGCCTGTGTGTCCTGCGGCCATGCCGTGGTACTTCCTGCCCTGCCAGCCCAGCTGCGACATGATCTGGCTGGTTCTGGCTGCCCTTCTCCTGCTGCTGACGGGCTGTGTGTCTGTGTCTCTGGAAGAGCTGCCCAGGGGCTCAGGGGACATAGCTGGCAGCAGCTCCATGAGCGCCAGCACTAACACTAACGCTCGCCAGTACAACTCTATCCAGCACGGATCCTGCACCTATACCTTCCTGCTGCCAGAGAACGCTGGGGGGAACAGGCCGTGCTGGACGGAGGGGGAGGGGGTCGGCGGCTCCAGCACCAGCCAGGGACAGGGCCAGTACCAGGGGAACACTCTACAAGGAGATGCCCCCCTGATAAAGCCCAACATCCCAGGACCGGCCCCAGCTCTGGGCAGCCAGAGGATCCAACACCTGGAGCACATCATGGACAACTACACACAGTGGCTTCAGAAGGTAAAAGCATGTTCTCTATGCATACAGTATAGTAGTAGTTGATGTAAAGATTAAAGCCTGACGTTTCAGTCTAAACAGAGCTTTATCAGACATATGTAATCTGGAAGGAAATGCATACTATGTCCCATGGCTGTGCAGGTCAAAATGATCTGCTTTTTTATCAGATTGAACTATGTGCTATTACATTAGCCAAAGTTGTTATCAAAACAAGTCTAAGAAGCGGTAGATCGGTTCTATGTGCGCTATTTCTATGCTTCCCGTTCTTGAGTTTAGTTTTTTGTGTCGTCTGTTTTGTACACCAGTTTTAAACAGTTGAAAATACAATATTTTTTCGGTTCTGGAAAACATATTTCACAGTGGTTTAGATGGTACAATGATTATCTACACTATCCTTGCTTATTTTGTCACATAAACTGAAATTAGGCTAACTATTAGAATTTTTGCAACCAGGAAATGCCGGAGCGATTTCTGCATAGTGCATCTTTAAGTGCACATTATTAGCATTGAGTATGTTACAACCCCATGAACCATTTGGACCAAGCCAAATGTGTCCTGCCATAATGAATATTATTATTATAGGACACATTTGGCTCTGTCCAACCTGGATCCATCTCTTTCCTCTATGTCTGTTTACTTGGTCGCTAGGTTGTGATGTTCTGAGTGTGTCCGGCTGGACTGGCTGTTCTTAAGAAAACACTGTGTTGTCTGTCTGAACCTTCTCACACTGGGTCACATTGGCCCCACTTCAGTATTAACAGATTACCACTTCAGTAGAAACAGATTGCCACTTCAGTAGTAACAGACTACCACTTCAGTAGAAACAGACTACCACTTCAGTAGAAACAGACTACCACTTCAGTAGAAACAGACTACCACTTCAGTAGAAACAGACTACCACTTCAGTAGAAACAGACTACCACTTCAGTAGAAACAGACTACCACTTCAGTAGTTTGGCACCAATTTGTTCCACAATGGTTTGGAAGAGTGTTTATGATATATGAACTTAACATAACATAAATGCTAATGAATAAGATGGCAAGTGTTGTAGATAGCCGTCATACTTTCAATGCATGAATTGGACACAGGAATTGTTTCATCAAAAAACAATAAACATTGACATATAATAGCTCTTGCCCACATGGAAAATCTTAGAGGGGTTGACTGTGTGAAAACATTCTGTATGCTGCATACATTGCCAACCAACAGAATTATACATGAAGACTTTCCTCAAACTTCATTCTGGTTATCTTGTGTAAACTACTCAGGACTGGATTACCTAAAGGGCACTCAGAGCATGTACCTTGGGGCCCCCGATGTTCAGGGGGCCCCAACCAGGGGGGACGGGAGGGTGGGGGCCCCCTGGAGGCAATGGCAAAGTGTGTAGAATTGCAGGAAATTTGCTTTATAACTGCAACATTTTCTCTCAGCATCATGGCAAAATGTGTAGATTAGCAGGAAAGTAGCTTTAAAAATGTGAAATATTCTGTCAGCCTCATGACAAAATGTGAAGAATAGCATGAGATGAGCTATAAAACAGCACATCTTTCTCTCCACCCCATGGAAAAATGTGTAGAATTGCAGGGAAATTATCTTTAAAACTGCAACATTTTCTCTCAGCTTCATGACAAAATGTGTAGAATAGTATTATAAAACTGCAAATATTTATCTCTGCGCCATGGCAAAATGTGTTGAAATGCAGGAAGTTAGCTGTTTTCCTAAAATAAATCTGTTTTCCCAAAAATAATTCAAATATAATAATAATTTACAGTACCAGTCAAAAGTTTGGACACACCTACTCATTCAAGGGTTTTTCTTTATTTTTACTATTTTCTACATTGTAGAATAATAGTGAAGACATCAGTGCTATGAAATAACACATATGGAATCATGTAGTAACCAAAAAAGTGTTAAACAAATCAAAATATATTTTATATTTGAGATTCATTTGTGGAATTTATTTCCTTCTTAATGCATTTGAGCCAATCAGTTGTGTTGTGAAAAGGTACGGGTGGTATACAAAAGATAGCCCTATTTGGTTAAAGACCAAGTCCATATTATGGCAAGAACAGCTCAAATAAGCAAAGAGAAATGACAGTCCATCATTTGTTTAACTCTTTTTTGGTTACTACATGATTCCATGTGTGTTATTTCATAGTTTTGATGTTTTCACTATTATTCTACAATGTAGAAAACAGTAACAATTAAGAAAAACTGTGGAATGAGTAGGTGTGATACTGTATATTTTGACTGGTACTGTATATATATTTATTATTTTGGTGGGGCCCCTGGAGGTAGGTGCCCTGGGGCCCCAAATGTGGTAGTCCGGCCCTGCAACTACTCCTCTGGGTTTCTTATGTCTAACATAGTGTGTAATTATTTGAGGAAAGGACATTACATGTTTAATCTGGACATTGTAATAAGGAGACTGCCACTTGACACGTTTTCTCCTGCTCAACATGTGTACAGTGCACTAGCCCTTCTCTCCCTTTCCTCTGCATTGACATTGACATCTTAATACACTCTGATCTTACAGATTAATAGCAATCCATTATGTTCCTGACTGATTCCATTAGCCGACTATTAAATTGTCTTCATTCTTAGTGGGAAGCTGCTCAGACCACATAGCAGCAGAGATAAACAGTCTGACACTGCACTTTCAGTAAGTGTCATAGAGACCAGGCCAGGCCTTTCCTCTGTCTGTGCAGAGGGAATCTAGCCACACAGTAGATGTTCTCAAATTGAAAATCATACTTAGGGTGATCTGTTACGTTAAATCAGGGATGAAGTGAGACAATAAATTCTAGCTTTGCGATGTAAATATTTCATATTTCATATGCCATTATTGTGACTACCTAACTGTAACGGTAATTTCCAAACTGTACATTTTTGGAACTACATAGTTTGAAAAGCTGTCCAAGGCTAAACTCAAACTGATTGACATGAACTGAAAAGGCCATGGCTTGAAAGCCGGTGTAACAGGAAAACTATAAACTTCAATGAATCACTGAATGACCCTGAGCTGTCACAAAAAAACAAACATATTTTGAAAGCATATTGCTGGGAAAGACCTCTCCTCTCCTCATTGTAATCATCATGAGGATAGTGAACTTGAGATGGATAATGTCATTGGCAGCTGAGCCCTGTCCACATGATGTATCTGTGGTAGAAAACATACAGATGCAGTCCCATGACTGATCTCTCCTGGTTGACTAAAGGGAAATGACTGAACTCAACAACCCTGAAAGATCCCTCCCTAAGTAGTTGACCAGGGGCCAAGGAAATCCTTAGACAGGACCATATCGATGCAGTAAATCCTTAAATCCAAAATTACTGAAGGGAATGAATACATATCCAACTTATTTTCTTCCCTGGATATAATTTCGTTATTTCTGGTTGGTTCCTTGGAAGTTGTGGGAACGTATGTTTTTGGTTTCACATTGGTTGTGGGAACGAAGCCATACGTATCCTGACCGGTAAAACATAACGTTTTCAAACGTTCTGAGAACAGAAGATTTTGTCTCTATTCTGGGAACTTTTATTTGTAGGTTGCAGAGAGGTTCTGAGAATGTTTTACTCTGGTTCCTTCAAAGTTTTACTGGGAGGTTTTATTAACGCTCTGAGAACGGAAACTATAGGTTATTTTGAGTTTTTTAAATAACTTCCTGAAAACATTCACTATGTTTCAATAAGACTGCTAGCTTATTTTGGGTTGACTTTTTGAACTTCAAGCACAAATAGACTAGTTGGTTGTTTAGCAACAAAACCAATGCATATGCAACTATGGGGTAAAACAGACAGGGTAAAATGTAAAATATATTTTGCCTTCAAATGTTTATTGAAAACATGAATACATTTTCACAATCAGCACTCTCAAATAAATCGTTAGAGTTGTTGGTTAGCTAGCTAGCGAATTTTTGCCATATAAGCATTGACATGAAATCAGTCAAAACACATTTACATTTACATCATTTAGCAGACGCTCTTATCCAGAGCGACATACAAATTGGTGCATTCAACTTATGATAGCCAGTGGGACAACCACCTTTTTTTAATTTGTTTTTTATGGGGGGGGGTGGGGGAAGAAGGATTACTTTATACTATTCCAGGTATTCCTTAAAGAGGTAGGGTTTCAAGTGTCTCCGGAAGGTGGTCAGTGACTCCGCTGTCCTGGCGTCGTGGGGGAGCTTGTTCCACCATTGGGGTGCCAGAGCAGTGAATAGCTTTGACTGGGATGAGCGGGAACTGTGCTTCTGTAGAGGTAGGGGAGCTAGCAGGCCAGAGGTGGATGAACGTAGTGCCCTCGTTAGGGTGTAGGGTCTGATCAGAGCCTGAAGGTAAGGAGGTGCCGTTCCCCTCACAGCTCCGTAGGCAAGCACCATGGTCTTGTAGTAGATGCGAGCCTCAACTGGAAGCCAGTGGAGTGTGCAGAGGAGCGGGGTGACATGAGAGAACTAGGGAAGGTTGAACACCAGACGGGCTGCAGCGTTCTGGGTAAGTTGAAGGGGTTTAATGGCACAGGCAGGGAGCCCAGCCAACAGCGAGTTGCAGTAATCCAGACGGGAGATGAAAAGTGCCTGGATTAGGACCTGTGCCGCTTTCTGTGTAAGGTAGGGTCGTACTCTGTGAATGTTGTAGAGCATGAACCTGCAGGATCGGGTCACCGCTTTGATGTTAGCGGAGAACGACAGGGTATTGTCCAGGGTCACGCCAAGATTCTTTGCACTCTGGGAGGAGGACACAATGGAGTTGTCAACCGTGATGGTGAGATCATGGAGCGGGCAGTCCTTCCCCGGGAGGAAGAGCAGCTCCATCTTGCCGAGGTTCAGCTTGAGGTGGTGATCCGACATCCACACTGATATGTCTGCCAGACATGCAGAGATGCGATTCACCACCTGGTTATCAGAAGGGGGAAAGGAGAAAATTAATTGTGTGTCATCTGCATAGCAATGATAGGAGAGACCATGTGAGGATATGACAGAGGATATGACTTGGTGTATAGAGAGAATAGGAGAGGGCCTAGAACTGAGCCCTGGGGGACACCAGTGGTGAGAGCACGTGGTGTGGAGACAGATTCTCGCCACGCCACCTGGTAGGAGCGACCTGTCAGGTAGGACGCAATCCAAGAGTGAGCAGCGCCGGAGATGCCCAACTCGGAGAGGGTGGAGAGGAGGATCTGATGGTTCACAGTATCAAAGGCAGCGGATAGGTCTAGACGGATAAGAGCAGAGGAGAGAGAGTTAGCTTTAGCAGTGCGGAGAGCCTCCGTGACACAGAGAAGAGTAGTCTCAGTTGAATGACCAGTCTTGAAACCTGACTGGTTTGGATCAAGAAGGTCATTCTGAGAGCGATAGCAGGAGAGTTGGCTAGAGACGGCACGCTCAAGACTTTTGGAGAGAAAAGAAAGAAGGGATACTGGTCTGTAGTTGTTGACATTGGAGGGATCGAGTGTAGGTTTTTTGAGGAGGGGTGCAACTCTCGCTCTCTTGAAGACGGAAGGGACATGGCCAGCGGTCAAGGATGAGTTGATGAGCGAGGTGAGGTAAGGGAGAAGGTCTCCGGAAATGGTCTGGAGAAGAGAGAAGGGGATAGGGTCAAGCGGGCAGGTGGTTTGGTGGCCGGCTGTCACAAGTCGCAAGATTTCATCTGGAGAGAGAGGGGAGAAAGAAGTGAAAGCATAGGGTAGGGCAGTGTGAGCAGGACCAGCGGTGTCATTTGACTTAATAAATGAGGATCGGATGTCGTCAACCTTCTTTTCAAAATGGTTGACGAAGTCATCCACAGAGAGGGATGAGGGAGGGGGAGGAGGAGGGGGATTCAGCAGGGAGGAGAAGGTGGCAAAGAGCTTCCTAGGGTTAGAGGCAGAGGCTTGAAATTTAGAGTGGTAGAAAGTGGCTTTAGCAGCGGAAACAGAGGAAGAGAATGTAGAGGAGGGAGTGAAAATTTGACAGGTCCGCAGGGAGTCTAGTTTTCCTCCATTTCCGCTCGGCTGCCCGGAGCTCTTTTCTGTGATCTCGCAATGAGTCGTCAAGCCACGGAGCAGGAGGGGAGGACCGAGCCGGCCGGGAGGATAGGGGACATAGAGTCAAAAGATGCAGAAAGGGAGGAGAGGAGGGTTGAGGAGGCAGGAGATGGAGTGGAGCTGCTGCCCGGAGCTGAACTGAACCCCGGTGGAGTGGACTGCTCTGGCTCTGGACTGGAGCATCTGACCGGGGCTGGACTAGACACCGGTGGAGCAGACTGCTCTGGCATTAGACTGGAGCAGCTAACCGGAGCTGGACTAGGCACCGGTGGAGCGGACTGCTCTGGCACTGGAGTGGAGCAGCTGACCGGAGCTGGACTAGGCACCGGTGGAGCGGACTGCTCTGGCACTGGAGTGGAGCAGCTGACTGGAGCTGGACTCGGCACCGGTGGAGCGGACTGCTCTGGCACTGGAGTGGAGCAGCTGACCGGAGCTGGACTGGGCACCGGTGGAGCGGACTGCTCTGGCACTGGAGTGGAGCAGCTGACCAGAGCTGGACTAGGCACCGGTGGAGCGGACTGCTCTGACCCTGAACTGGACCGTACCGGGCTGGGGACACGCACCACTAGTCTGGTGCGAGGAGCAGGCACGGGCCATACCGGGCTGGGGACACGCACCACTGGTTTGGTGCGAGGAGCAGGTATGGGGCGCACCAGGCTGGCGACACACACCACTGGTTTGGTGCGAGGAGCAGGTATGGGGCGTACCGGGCTTGTGACACGCACCACTGGTTTGGTGCAAGGAGCAGGTACGGGCCATACAGGACTGGAGACACGCACCACTGGTTTGGTGCGGGGAGAAGGTACGGGGCGTACCAGGCTGGCGATACGCACCACTGGTTTGGTGCGTGGAGCAGGTACGGGCCGTACAGGACTGGAGACATGCACCACTGGTTTGGTGCGGGGAGCAGGTACGGGGCGTACAGGACTGGAGACACGCACCACTGGTTTGGTGCAGGGAGCAGGTACGGGGCGTACCGGGCTGGCGACACGCACCACTGGTTTGGTGCGTGGAGCAGGTACGGGGCATACAGGACTGGAGACACGCACCACTCGTTTGGTGCGGAGAGCAGGTACGGGCCGTACCAGGCTGGGGACACGCACCACTGGATTGGTGCGAGGAGCAGGAACAGCCCGGCCTGGCTGAACGCTCATTTTAGCGTTCAGCACCAAGCGCACCGGGCTGTGAACGCGCACTGGAGATACAGTGCGTATCACAGCATAACAGGGTGCCTGTATGGTCCCACGCTCCTTAACACGAGTGCGGGGAGTTGGCTCTTCTCTGAAACCTGGCTCTGCCAGCCTCTGCTCTAAGGACTGCGTTCTCCTTTTCTCTAGGGTTAATTCCTCTCTCAGCTCCTCCTGTTGCCTAGCCAGCTCCTCTCTCCGTGCATCCACTGACTCCTTCTCCCTGTGGGCCTCCTGCAGTGCCTCCTTCTGAATGGAGAGCCCCTGCTCCCTCTTCTCTATCAGCCCCCGTAAGGTGGTGGTCTCCTCTCTCAGAGTGCTGAGCTGCAGGTCTTTCAGGGCCTCCTGCTGCTTCGCCCACCACCCCGTGTGCCTTCCCAAACATTTTTCTTGGGGCTGCCTCTCGGGCTTCCTTAGTGATCGGGACCTTTTGAGTCGCCATTTTTTCTCCCTCGCTGTCTCCGTCTGCTCCCAAGGAAGGCGATCCCTACCTGCCTGGATCTCCTCCCAAGTCCAGGATCCCTTACCGTCCAAAATATCCTCCCATGTCCATGTTGTCTGCTCTTCCTGTTCACGCTGCTTGGTCCGTTGGTGGTGGGATCTTCTGTCACGTTCGTTGAGTAAAGGATTGGACCAAGGTGCAGCGTGGTATGCGTACATGTTTAATTAAGAAGTAAACACAAGACAAAACAACAAAAGCAACGTAACATGAAGTTCTAATGGGCTACACATAAACAAGCCAAACCAGAAACAAGATCCCACAACATAGGCAGTCATGTTGCCTACCTAAGTATGATCCCCAATCAGAGACAACGATCGACAGCTGCCTCTGATTGGGAACCACACCCGGCCAACATAGAAATACAAAATCTAGATCTTACACATAGAAATTTACACCCTGACCAAACCAACTAAAGATCTCTATGTCAGGGCGTGACACAATGTCAAGCCAGTTGGAGAGTGTGCCTAGAACATTACCAAAATTTTAATTAAATGTAACCATGTTTGAACTTTTCTCACAGCCAATGAAGTGGAGTGTACAGAACACCAGGAGTCTGGCAAGAGAGGTAAAGCCCTAAACATCTCTTCATACCTCCTCTGTGTTTGTGTGTCAGATTGAGAGCTATGTGAAGGACAGTCTGAAGGTAGAGATGGCTCAGCTGCAGCAAAGTGCTGTCCACAACCACACAGCCGCCATTTTGGATCTAGGCACCAACCTCCTGACCCAGACTGCCCAGCACACACAGAAACTGACAGATGTAGAGATCCAGGTGCAGTATTTTTAATTTTTTTAAAGTCATTTAGCAGACGCTCTTATCCAGAGCGACTTACATTTAGTGAGTGCACACATTATTTTATTTATTTATTTATTTTCATACTCCCCGTGGGAATCGAACCCACAACCCTGGCGTTGCAAACGCCATGCTCTACCAACTGAGCTACATCCCAACTGAGCCATTCCCTCCCCTACCCTGGACGACGCTGGGCCAATTGTGCGCTGCCCTATGGGTCTCCCGGCCGCGGCCGGCTACGACAGAGCCTGATTCTCTAGTGGCACAGTTAGCACCACTGCGCCACTCGGGAGGCCATAATAGTTGATACAATGTTTCAAGTTCGTTGCAGACAGGCCATGCGTAGCCAATGTGATTTACAACAGTATGAATCATATACAAATATCCCTCTCCAAAGAACATTAAAGTGCACGATATGATATCAGTAACACTTACTACTTAATCATGTAGCCTACACAGCAATTCTCCTCATTTGATTGGATGAATAGGCCTATGAAGTACATTAAAATACATGTTAACACTTTTAGCCTATATAGATCATGTCTATACACTTGACTGGGTGAATATGAATGATAGTAACAGTTTCCTGATGGACAGGTGTTGAATCAGACCTCGAGGCTGGAGATTCAGCTCCTGGAGAACTCTCTGTCCACCAACAAATTGGAGACCCAGCTCCTCCACCAATCTACAGAGATCAGCAAGCTGCACAACAAGAATGGGTAAAATCAACATGGATGATTTTCTTCCCATGAGCAGTTCTGTCTTGATTTATTGGCTGACTGACTGACTGACTGACTGACTGTTTGATTGATTGACTGATTGACTGACTGACTGATCGACTGATCAACTGATTGTCAAATCACTTGTATTGATCAGGCTCTTGGAGCAGAAGATGCAGGAGCTGGAGTCTGGGCACCATGAGGAGCTGGTTACCTTACAGGAGGAGAGGTCCAGCCTGCAGCAGCTGGTAGCCAGACAGAGCAGTGTGATCACAGAGCTACACACCCATCTGGACCAGGCCACTGGCAACAACAGTATCCTGCTTAGTCAACAACAGCAGCTCACTGACACCGTCAACAGTCTGATGAAACTCTGCTCTAAGGACAGAGGGTCTGGAGGTACTGGATGGATGCTGGGGCCAATGTTTCCTATTACAGAAAGTATAAATAAAATACTCTGGGGTATGAATATCATAGCATAGATAGGAATGATTTCCGGGAAGAGGGAGTTGGCTTTAAAAGCTCTAGGTAGGGTTAAATAAAACAGAGGTACTGGAGGATATATTGTGGCAAATGTTCACAGGTTCAGACAAGGTATTCTCTGGGCACAGATAAAGCCTATACCTGGACTAAGAAGGCTGGACTAACCCAGTGAGCACCGGCCGACGTCCATGGACGTTGAAAAGAGGTTGAAACTTGGTCCGGAGCGGCCTTGATTTCAAAGTCCACAGACGTCCAGACCGGACTTGATTCGGCCCAAACACAGATGTCTAAGTTTGATTCAAATTTAGTCTGGACAGGCCTTGATTTGGCCCCTAAAAACCTGTCTATGATTCATTCAGATTTGGTCCTACAGCATACTACAGCACTGTACAGTAGAGCACAGCAGAGTACAGTACAGTTAAGTATAGTAAAGAAAAGTAGAGTATAGTTCAGTACAGTAGAGTACAAAATGGCACTGCACTCTACTGTGCTCTACACTGTACAGTACTGTACTGTACTGTGCTGTCCTAACCTGTGAAACATAGACGTCTATGATTGGTTCAGATTTGGTCTGATCCGGACCGACCAAATGTGGTTTTGTTTGGGGGCGGAGCTCATTAGAATAACACCCAGTATACTTTGCCAGTGTTCATTTTGACATTTACATTTTTGTCATTTAGCAGACGCTCTTATCCAGAACTGAAGGATATATTGTGCCGAATTTCTATAGCTTTGTCTAAAAGACGTCTATTCAACTTTCATTCAGAACCCGAAAATGAACCTGATTTCAACGTCTGGAAAATACGTATTTTAGACCTCTTTTCAACGTAATTTAGCTCACTGGGAAGTAGCATAGGCTTAATCTATGACCGGGAAAGGCCTGGATCATAAATACCATAGCACAGATATGAATGATTTAGGCTTGGAGGGGGTTGACCTTAAAAGCTCAGGCTAGGGTTAAATAGAACTTACTGTAGACTGGAGACTGAAGAGAATTTATAGGAGTTTATAATAACTTGGTGGGTGCTTATATTTGTCCTATTTCACACATGTACAAGTGTGAATTAATGTAATATCCATTTGTGAATTGTAAATGTGTTTTGTTTTGCATATCCCAACTCTCCCTGAGACGCCCTCGGAGAGTGGGGTCATGGCCAGGGTCTGTCATTATCAACGGAGACCCTGGCGTAATTAAGGTTAAGTGCCTTGCTCGAGTGACTAATGATTTTTCACCTTGTCAGCTAGTGGATTGAAACAAGCAACCTTTTGGTTACTGACCCAACGCTCTAACTGCTAAGCTACCTGTCGCCCAAAGGGAGTTCTGCTAAACATCACCAGAAGTGTTTCAGTCAGGGCCCAGACTGGCTTCAAGAGCCTCTTCAGACTAGAAACAGCTACTTGTCTAGTGTTCTAAGAACATAAGAAGATGCATTCCAGAACATAAGAACCTGTTCTAATAGGAACTGACCCAGTCTGGGCTGTTGATTACAAAGGATTTTGGATGCATTCAAATTGGAGCCTAGTTTATAATTTGTTTGCTCTTGTTTCATTATCTATTCAAGCAGTGGTCCCAAACAGCAACCTTGCCTTTAAGCAGAGAGATTCATCTCATGAGGAGAGAAAGTATCGGGACTGCTCTGAAATCTTTCAAGCTGGCTTCAACAACAGTGGAGTATATACTATTCACATCAACACACAGGAGACCAAAAAGGTAAGGAAAACTTGATATATTATCTTCAGTAAATATTAGAGGGGGAAAAGAGATGTAAATTCAATTAGCATAATTTGTATTATAGAGGCATACATTACAGATGATATATGCAGGCTTTGGCTCTGCATGCAAAACAGCAAAAACTGACATGAAAAATTCAAGGGCTGCACTTTTTCTTACTGTAACCTACTTTAGTTTACGTGCAAGTGAAGTGGCAGCAATTCATATACGGTACCCTAAAGCCGCTTGCCAAAAGATTCGACAACAATATCCCAGGAATATGTCAGGTATTGGCTGGCTGATATGCTGGGTCTGGAAATACTCTTGGCTGGCCTCTTCACCGCAGCTACACGGCAGATGTCCTCCTCCTGCCAAGCCGCAGATGGCTGACTGGCAGTGTGTTACTGTCCATTATCAGCTGTCAGTGTCAATGGGACCTCCATGGCTACACTGAGCTACGTCCCTGGGCTTAGGACACATTGTCATTATGGCCTGAACATGGTACACTCATCTATAGTACATTTTTGTCATTTAGCAGACGCACTTATCCAGAACGATTTACAGGAGCAATTATGTTTAAATGCCTTGCTCAAGGGCACATCGACAGATTTTTCACCTTGTCTGCTCTGGGATTCGAACCAGCGACATTTCGGTTATTGGCCCAAAGCTTTCGGTTACTGGCCCAACGCTCTTAACCGCTAGTCTTCTTTTACAGGAAACAGAGTCGTTATTGTCATGATATGCACTGCATGTGTGAGAGTAGTGCGTAAACTACCCATGTCACTGACTTTCTGTCTCTCTCTCTGTAGGTTTACTGTAACATGGAGGCAGCAGGGGGAGGATGGTCCGTCATTCAGAGGAGAAAAGACGGGACCATGGACTTCCAGAGAACGTGGAAGGAGTACAAGATGGTGAGGAGGCCAGGGTGGAATATTCTCACAGTATTCACACTGACATCTTTTCTGATTTTGGTGAATACATAGCACTTGGGATTAACATGGGTAATCGGGATCCCGGGACTGTCCCGGGAACACTCTTCACGTTTACCGGAAAAAATAAACAACAAGACCCGGGAAATTACAACATTTATCCACAATGTCTGCACTAATTAAATTCCACAGCAAAAGATTAACAAAAATTAAAATTCAACATTATCCAAACAGGTTGTCACATGGAAGCCATTAGCCTATCTTATTTACTTGACACAAAGTCGCCATAAATTCAAAGAGCACGCATAATTGACACTGCCGGTCGTGCTGGACTGCACACATGACCCGAATGCAGTTAACGAACCCTACAGGAAACCCCTACAGTATAGCCTATTAAAGAACGTGTGCCTCTTTAAGCTGTCATTGTAAATCTTCAGACAGTCACAAATTTGATAGGCCTATGCACAATTCACTACATAGGCATCTCGGTCACAGACATGAAGTCTGTTAACAATTCAGAGGCATGAGGGGAAATTCTATCTTCAGAGCCTAGGCTATTTTCCTATCCAGTCCCAATCCCAATGAAACCCAAAATCCTGACTCCTGTCTCACTCCTGTTTCTAATTTTATAATGGAATCCATAGGTTGCATTATCAAAGCACGTTTCTCGCCTATGCATGTCAAAATACCGCTTTCCCTGCTTCTCTGTGCTGTCTCGTACTTGCTGCCCATATGAGAGCTTCGGTGTGATCAACAAACGATATGAGAGTAGAAATTGATATTTTTTAAACAGAGTTGGTCCCCGTTAAGATACCTTGATATTTAAACTATTTCCACTTCATCTCCCCATTATTCATGAGCAGATCTGCTATCTGTATAATCATCAACTTGATTTTGCCAAATATAGGAGATATTCTGTCATTCGTTGAAGGAGGTTAACTTTGGTCATTTGACTTTTGTTTGACTGCTGTTACAAAGAATGAATCGCCAATACTATGCTCGGAGTGCGCTCTATGCGTGCTGAGCGTGCTCTGTGTCGAGATCGCCTAGGCTACTTCTGAAATGCGCTGTCGATCAAAGATAGTTACTCTATCATGACTACATTTCTGTTTAATTTGCTCTGAAATCTTGACATAGTGGCGCAGCCAAGCCGACAAGGTGGCGCAGCACCCCTGTTATTTGGGGAGAACCCTAGCGTAGTGACCATATCTTGGTTTTAAAAGCTTTAAATGGGCACTTCCGATTTTTGCAGTATATCCCGGGACTCTCGGGATAAATATGAATTATTCCAGGTATTGAAACTTGGTAGATTTTCGGGAAAATATGAATCCCTACATAGCACAATATTCCACAATATAAATGTATATGTCAAACTATAACAGAGAAAGGAGCATTACAAACGCATAGCAAGGAACAGACTTAGTACATCCCAAGTGGCACCCTATAGCCTATATAGTGCACTACTTTCGGCCAGAGCGAGGGATGGTTGCCCTCCAGTGAGGGGCTAAAGAAGTGTGGAGTATAGCCTGGCAAAGACACGGGCATACAATGGGTTCCCTCTTGACTTCCCCCATTGAGAATAGATGATTTGCTGTTCATGGGGCATGTGTTCGCTCGGTGACCCCTCTGTGGGGAGTGTTTCATCATGACACTAATGGCCTCTGATTGAACACATCTGAGAGAAGACGACAGGAGAGAGGAAACGGTTTAAGTTGAGTCTAAACATGGTGTGCTTAGATCACCATTCAAATGTTGATATATTGTAAATTGTCTCTGGTAAAAAAAAAAGATCCATGCCAAGGTCTGGTCTAGTGCTGCAGACCCCAACACTATCTCTCTATAGCTATATCTCTCTATCTATATATTTACATTTTAATCATTTAGCAGACGCTCTTATCCAGAGTGAGTGCATACATCTTCATACTGGCCCCCGTGGGAAACGAACCCACAACCCTGGCATTACAAGCGCCATGCTCTACCAACTGAGCTACAGGGGACTTATATATCTCTATCTATATCTCTCTATCTATTGAGGGAGACAGACAGATGAGATGAGTAGATACAGATATATAGATACAGATATAGATAGAGAGAAATAGATAGAGATATATAGATAGAGATAGAGATATATAGATAGAGATATATATATATATATATAGATAGAGATATATAGAGATATATAGAGATATATAGATATATATATATATAGATATAGATAGAGATATATAGATAGAGATATAGATAGAGATATATAGATAGAGATATATAGATAGAGATATATAGATAGAGATATATAGATAGAGATATAGATAGAGAGATATAGATAGAGATATAGATAGAGATATAGATAGAGATATATAGATAGAGATATATAGATAGAGATATACATTTTACATTTTACATTTTAGTCATTTAGCAGACGCTCTTATCCAGAGCGACTTACAGGAGCATATAGATAGAGATATAGATAGAGATATATAGATAGAGATATAGAGATAGAGATATAGAGATATAGATAGATATATAGATAGAGATATGTAGATAGAGATATATTGATAGAGATATATAGATAGATATATATATATATAGATATAGATAGAGATATATAGATAGAGATATAGATAGAGAGATATAGATGGAGATATAGATATAGAGATATAGATAGATATATAGATAGAGATATACAGATATAGATAGAGATATATAGATAGAGATATATTGATAGAGATATAGATAGAGATATATAGATAGAGATATATAGATATAGATATATAGATAGAGATATATAGATATAGATACAGATATAGATAGAGATATATAGATAGAGATATAGCTAGAGAGATATAGATAGAGATATAGATATATAGATAGAGATATATAGCTCGCGCTCTCTCGCTCGCGCTCTCGCTCGCGCTCTCGCTCGCGCTCTCTCGCTCGCGCTCTCTCGCTCGCGCGCTCTCGCTCGCGCTCTTCGCTCGCGCTCTCTCCTGCTCTCGCTCGCGCTCTCGCTCGCTCTTGCTCGCTCTCCTCTGCCTCGCGCTCTCGCTCTCGCGTCTCGCCTGATGCGCTTCGTCTCTCTCTCGCTCTCTCTTACTCTCTCTATCTCTCTCTTCTCTCTCTCTCTCTCTCTCTCCTATCTCTCTCTCTCCTCTCTCTCTCTCTCCTCTTCTCTCTTCTCTCTCTCTATCCTATCTCTCTCTCTCTCATTCTCTCGCTCTATCTCTACTCCTATCTCTTTCTCTATCTATATCTCTCTATCTACTCATCTCATCTGTCTGTCTCCCTCAATTCACCACCGTCAAAAAATAGTAAAACACAGAACGAATTCCTTTTTTAAAAAAGAATAAAGATTCCCTGAGTAGAACATTCCTCTAGTCTGCACTCTTAAGAAAAAAGGTTCTACGTAGAACCATATAGGGTTTGTCATCTTGTCCCTGTAGAAGAACTCGATATGACAGTAATTCTTTTTCTATAGCTCCATGTGTTGCTGGGGTAAGGCCCTGCGACAGACTAGCATCCTGTCCAGGGGTTGTACTGGTACATCAAGCTGCCTTACACTACAGAAACAGGAGATAGGCTCCTGCTCCTATGAGCCTTTCTGGCTTGGACAAGGCTTACTTACAAATGTGTTGCTGTGCTGTTGTGCTGTTGCAGGGCTTTGGGAGTCTGTTTGGAGAGCACTGGCTGGGGAATGAATTTGTGTTCCTGCTGACCAGTCAGAGGCCCTATAACCTGAGGGTGGAACTGATCGACTGGGATGGACAGCAGGCCTTCTCCCACTACGACTGCTTCTACATCGGCAGCGAGAAGCAGAATTACAGGTAGGATACCAGCAATGTGTTGTGGGACGTATTCTTAAAGAGTATCACAGTAGGGGTGCTGATAGCAACTACAGATGTCATTTCCACTTTGAAAATTCAGACTTGATTTGCCCTAAATAAAAATGTATCAACCCCTACAAAAATGTCCATGAATTATAATCCACATAATAATTCACATTTTCCGTTCCTGCAGGATTATTTTCCTGCTCTAGCAAACTGGCTCAAATTAAGATCCTACATCTGTATGTACCCTAAGTGGAGAAAAATGAAGTTTTATCGAATCTCAGCGCATTGTATCGTACCTACAGTACTGTTTTTATGATCATTGGACATTCCCTGACTAAATACGCCCACATTCCTATTTAAATAGTCACTCTACTACTCAATTGTGGTTGTCTTTTTACTTTCTTGAGGAAATGCAGTAGATTTTTAATGAAGTGGGAATGAGATATTGGACTTTGTTCCATCACTGACAATGATGTGCTTGGTGTTGTATTTCCATCACAGTAACGATGGTGAGGCACTGGGGACTCTGATCATGATTTGTAATCAATACATTTTTCAGTTTGCTTGACTTCTTTGTCCATAACCTTATGATTGAGGCTTCTAGGACTTCAGCAGAATATCATAATTCTTACTTTTTCATTTATTCTCTGTTCAAAAACATACTGAAAAATATTTTGGAGTTCTGGAATGGAATCAATTTTGGTCTCTAGATTCTTATTTCATGACCATTCTGTAGTACTTGTGATGGAGATGGTCCAAAACAAACTATTGTCACACAGCTTCTTAGTGAAAGAGAGGCTCTGCCTCATTTCACAATGCCATTACTAACAAAATAAACTGTAAGATCGTAAAAGGGAATTACCATATTTTAATTCCTTAGAACGATAACCAGGAAGCTTTGTCTCAATCTGATTTAGTTCACCCACACACGGATATGCAATCACACAAACGAACACACACCAGTACCATTTTTACCTGGCTCACATTTTTGCTAGCCAGTTAAAAACAAGGAAGGATGGAAGGATGTACAAAGAGCTATTAGATTAACTCTTGAGTAGTATTGAGAGCGAGAGTAAACAAAGTATGTCAGTGGAAATGGAAAAGTAATTTACAGTATATAGCAGTCAGTATATATAATCTGTTAGCGGGAATCTATGTAAATAATGACCATTCTTTTAAACATGGCATATAGAGGAAGATCACAGCCTTTAAAAGGAAAGCTATTCTATGGAGTGTGGCTTTAAATGGGCCTACAGCTCAAATCCAATCACATTTTATTGGTTGCATACACATATTTAGCAGATGTTATTGCGGGTGTTGCGAAATGCTTGTGTTCCTAGCTCCAACAGTGCAGTAATACCTAGCTAAATGCTTGTGTTCCTAAATCCAACAATGCAGTAATACCTAGCAAAATGCTTGTAATCTTAGCTCCAACAGTTTAGTAATACCTAGCTAAATGCTTGTGTTCCTAGCTCCAACAGTGAAGTAATACCTAGCTAAATGCTTGTGTTCCTAGCTCCAAAAGTGCAGTAATACCTAGCGAAATGCTTGTGTTCTTAGCTCCAACAGTGAAGTAATACCTAGCTAAATGCTTGTGTTCCTAGCTCCAACAGTGCAGTAATACCTAGCTAAATGCTTGTGTTCCTAGCTCCAACAGTGCAGTAATACCTAGCGAAATGCTTGTGTTCTTAGCTCCAACAGTGCAGTAATACCTAGCTAAATGCTTGTGTTCCTAGCTCCAACAGTGTGGTAATATCTAGCTAAATGCTTGTGTTCCTAGCTCCAACAGTGCAGTAATACCTAGCGAAATGCTTGTGTTCTTAGCTCCAACAGTAAAGTAATATCTAGCTAAATGCTTGTGTTCCTAGCTCCAACAGTGCAGTAATACCTAGAGAAATGCTTGTGTTCTTAGTTCCAACAGTGCAGTAATACCTAGCTAAATGCGTGTGTTCCTAGCTTCAACTTTGCAGTAATACCTAGCTAAATGCTTGTGTTCCTAGCTCCAACTGTTCAGTAATACCTAGCGAAATGCTGGTGTTCTTAGCTCTAACAGTGCAGTAATACCTAGCGAAATGCTTGTGTTCCTAGCTCCAACAGTGCAGTAATACCCAGCTAAATGCTTGTGTTCCTAGCTCCAACAGTGCAGTGATACCTAGCTAAATGCTTTTATTCCTAGCTCCAACAGTGCAGTAATACCTAGCTAAATGCTTGTGTTCCTAGCTCCAACAGTGCAGTAATACCTAGCTAAACGCTTGTGTTCCTAGCTCCAACAGTGCAGTAATACCTAGCTAAATGCTTGTGTTCCTAGCTCCAACAGTGCAGTAATACCTAGCTAAACGCTTGTGTTCTTAGCTCCAACAATGCAGTAATACCTAGCAAAATGCTTGTAATCTTAGCTCCAACAGTGCAGTAATACCTAGCGAAATGCTTGTGTTCTTAGCTCCAACAGTGCAGTAATACCTAGCTAAATGCGTGTGTTCCTAGCTTCAACTTTGCAGTAATACCTAGCTAAATGCTTGTGTTCCTAGCTCCAACAGTGCAGTAATACCTAGCTAAATGCTAGTGTTCCTAGCTCCAACAGTGCAGTAATACCTAGCTAAACTTTTGTGTTCCTAGCTCCAACAGTGCAGTAATACCTAGCTAAATGCTTGTGTTCCTAGCTCCAACAGTGCAGTAATACCTAGCTAAACGCTTGTGTTCTTAGCTCCAACAATGCAGTAATACCTAGCAAAATGCTTGTAATCTTAGCTCCAACAGTGCAGTAATACCTAGCGAAATGCTTGTGTTCTTAGCTCCAACAGTGCAGTAATACCTAGCTAAATGCGTGTGTTCCTAGCTTCAACTTTGCAGTAATACCTAGCTAAATGCTTGTGTTCCTAGCTCCAACTGTTCAGTAATACCTAGCAAAATGCTGGTGTTCTTAGCTCTAACAGTGCAATAATACCTAGCGAAATGCTGGTGTTCTTAGCTCTAACAGTGCAGTAATACCTAGCGAAATGCTTGTGTTCCTAGCTCCAACAGTGCAGTAATACCTAGCTAAATGCTTGTGTTCCTAGCTTCAACAGTGCAGTAATACCTAGCTAAATGCTTGTGTTCCTAGCTCCAACATTGCAGTAATACCTAGCTAAACGCTTGTGTTCCTAGATCTTACAGTGCAGTAGTATATAACAATACAAAACAATACACACAAATCTGATAGCAAAATGGCGCTGATAGACATGGTCGCCCTGTTCATGGCTCCTAAGCAATTTTGCAGCTCTTCAGATACACTGGGTTTCAGAGAGCCAGGCTGCCTTCCACTACTACTTAGTTAGTGTGACACAGAGTCACTGTAGAGGAGCCAAACACCTGGTCAACATACCATACTGAAGCCCCATTAATGATCAGCCTGACACTTTGATGGGTCAGATATATGACCACACAGAGGGACCACATACAGTGAGGGGAAAAAGTATTTGATCCCCTGCTGATTTTGTACGTTTGCCCACTGACAAAGAAATGATCAGTCTATAATTTTAATGGTAGGTTTATTTGAACAGTGAGAGACAGAATAACAACAACAAAAATCCAGAAAAACGCATGTCAAGAATGTTATAAATTGATTTGCATTTTAATGAGGGAAATAAGTATTTGACCCCCTCAACATAGACATAGGATTCAACATAGTATTCAACATAAACATAGGATTCAACATAGTATTCAACAGAGTATTCAACATAGACACAGTATTCAACATAGACATAGTATTCAACATAGACATAATATTCAAGTCTACTGATTAAGAAGTGAAGTATCCATTATCTGGTTCTGGCAAGACCTCAAAGATGTCTGACTCATAAACCACAGTTGGACCTGCCGCTTGACATGCAGTACAGTAGATGGGGCAATACAATGCAGGATGAGAGAGTGCAAAGGGTTCACAGGGAAGTGTATATGGTTTGAAACAAATGAGGAAACCAACAATACCCTCATAAACCAGGATTTTCTTTATAAAAGCAACAGGTGTGATTGGTTTTGATATAGTGTACGAGAATTTCAAAGACACTTCTTTAGAAGGGTACATAATCTTTGTATTAGATTAGAAGAACATTGTGGTGGTGAATTTCTGTCCTCAAGCGTTCGCACAGTGAGAACAAGGGGAGGTACTCGGATTTACGTACAGAATAATAGGAAATACTCTGAGACCAGGTTGCAAGGGGAGGTACATATTATTTGTGTTAGATTAGAAGAACAGTGTGGTGTATGCACTGTATGAAAATGTATGCACTCACTAACTGTAAGTCGCTCTGGATAAGAGCGTCTGCTAAATTACTAAAATGTAAATATAAAATGGTGGTGAATTTCTTTCCTCCAGTGTTCACACAGTGAGAACAAGAACAAAGCATTATCCAGCAGCTAAAGGGCACTCCCATTGTGTTTCTGCTTTATTTCCCTCTGTGTTACCCTGGCGACTGAGTCAGGCTGTTCCTGAAGAGTCACAGTGGAACGGCAGGCAGACAGAGCAGCCTGGTCATCAACGGAGCAGACTTCAGTACCAAGGATATGGACAATGACAACTGCATCTGCAAATGTGCTCTCATGCTCACCGGGGGTATGTCTGAGGCTAAAGTCCACATCGACCCCTAACCACATGCACTCTGTATGCACTCCTGTAGAACTGAAACAATTGGATAAGTAGAAGCAATAAGACAACAACAACAACAACAACAACCCACCCAGATTATGCTAGGCAAGGTGAAAACATTTCCAACCCATTGACCTCCATGTCACCATCACCCACTTTATCCCCCCCCCCCCCGGTCTAGAAGACCTGCAGAGCAAGCCGGAGCCAGTTAGCATGTATTCAGCACTGTTACTGACATATCAAAGCAGAGGATGCTATCTTAGCTGGTTAAGCCAGGTGGCAGCCCTCATCATTTTACAGAATGATTGCCACGTGCCATGTGGCTGGTTTAGAAGTCCAGGGAACTGGTCAGCGGAAATGATAGAAAATAACAGTAAAATTCATATTAAAGTGATGTAAATGAGTAGCTACAATCCCATCAGGATTTAGATCCAGAATGGACATCAGAAAATGCATAGTACAGATACATGTCTTTATCCTTTTATCAATGTCTAGACCAGCGTTTCCCAAACCCGGTCCTGGGGCCCCCTCTGGGTACACATTTAGGTTTTTGCCCTAGCACTACACAGCTGATTCAAATAATCAAAGCATGATGATGAGTAAATTATTTGAATCAGCTGTGTAGTGCTAGGGAAGAAACCAAAACATGCACCCATTGAGGTCCCCAGGACCGAGTTTGGCAAACGCTGGTCTAGAGTGACAACGAGGTATTTAAATCCACATACAGCATGCACCTCTTGCCCTCAATACAATGGGGTGCTTTAGACCCAAAAGTAGCCACAAACATCAAGCACCAGCTTCCAGTCAGTTCTAACCTATAACACTGAATTTAGATGCCCATGGAATGTAGGTTAAAGCATGGCTGACGCCAACACGTAGCTTACTAGAGTATGGCTGTGTCCCAAATGGCATCCTATTCCAAATATAGTGCACTACTTTTGACCGGAGCTCTGGACCAGAGTAGTGCACTACATAGGGAACAGGGTGCCATTTGAGACTCATCCCATAGGTTGATGAGTTCAGGAGGTGTAGTGGTTAGTGGATAGATCACTTGGCATTAACGGCCCTCCATAAGACTCCAAGTAGCTGGTCCAAACGTGTTGGGCTCGCAGAGATTGTTGTAGACTATTTATATTTTGTTAGTTGCCCTCACACTCCTCTCTCACCTGTAATGAAAGGTCAGAGGTCAGAATGGGGCAAAGCTATCCAGAGAGAGGAGTGCTGGAGTCTGCTCTTGTGTTGATGACTTGGCGCTGCAACAAAGCTATCTAGAGATAATCAGAGGTTACAGGGAGGTCACACAGTTATGACTTTGATAGTTCCTCTGATAGTGTAACATCATCAAGCCTAAAATAAATGTTGTTTGTTTCTCTCTGCCTTTCTCTCTATGCCTTCAGGTTGGTGGTTCGATGCCTGTGGACCATCGAACCTGAACGGGATGTACTACAATCATGGTCAGAACATGGGTAAACTGAATGGGATCAGGTGGCACTACTTCAAAGGGTCAAGTTACTCTCTCCGTGCTACCGCCATGTTGATACGACCAGCAGACTTCTGAGAGGACCTTTCGGTGACTGTCGTTGGGTACATTGTCCAGAGCCATATTGGCATCATTAGCCATGTTTCCATCCAACTGTTTTTATGGGATAAAGTACTGGCCTGTTGCATAAAAAAAACTCACAACAGGTGTGACGGAAACACAAAATACAAGGTGGGATATTACCATGTGGGCGAGGATATTTAATCAAAGTCTATTGGATGACAACTTATTTTTAACCAGGACAGAATTTATAAATGACTTTTTCCGACATAGCATACAGTGCATTCGGAAAGTATTCAGACCCCTTGACTTTTTCCACATTTTGTTACGTTACAGCCTTATTTCTAAAATGGATTAAATAAAAAATGTCCTCATCAATCTACACACAATACCTCATAATGACAAACCAAAAACAGGTTTTTAGAAATGTTTATAAATAAAAACAGAAATACCTTATTTACATAAGTATTCAGACCCTTTGCTATGAGACTCGAAATTGAGCTCAGATGCATCCTGTTTCCATTGATCATCCTTGAGATGTTTCTACAATTTGATTGGAGTCCACCTGTGGTATATTCAATTGATTTGACATGGTTTGGAAAGGCACACACCTGTCTATATAAGGTCCCACAGTTGACAGGGCATGTCAGAGCAAAAACCAAGCCATGAGGTCGAAAGGAATTGTCCGTAGAGGTCCGAGACAGGATTGTGTGAAGGCACAGATCTGGGGAAGGGTACCAAAAAATGTCTGCAGCATTGAAGGTCCCCAAGAACACAGTGGCCTCCATCATTCTTAAATTGAAGAAGTTTGGAACCACCAAGACTCTTCCTAGAGCTAGCCGACCATCCAAACTGAGCAATCAGGGGAGAAGGGCCTTGGTCAGGGAGGTGACCAAGAACCCGATGTTCACTCTGACAGAGCTCCAGAGTTCCTCTGTGGAGATGGGAGAACCTTCCAGAAGGACAATCATCTCTGCAGCACTCTTCCGATCAGGCCATTATGGTAGAGTGGCCAGACGGAAGCCACTCCTCAGTAAAAGGCACATGACAGCCTGCTTGGAGTTTGCCAAAAGGCACCTAAAGGACTCTCAGACCATGAGAAACAAGATTCTCTGGTCTGATGAAACCAAGATTGAACTCTTTGGCCTGAATGCCAAGCGTCACATCTGGAGGAAACCTGGCACCATCCCTAAGGTGAAGCATGGTGGTGGCAGCATCATGCTGTGGGAATGTTTTTCAGTGGCAGGGACTGGGAGACTAGTCAGGATCGAGGGAAAGATGAACGGAGCAAAGTACAGAGAGATCCTTGATGAAAACCTGCTCCAGAGCGCTCAGGACCTCAGACTCGGGCAAAGGTTCACCTTCCAACAGGACAACGACCCTAAGCACACAGCCAAGACAACACAGGAGTGGCTTCGGGACAAGTCTCTGAATGTCCTTGAGTGGCTCAGCCAGAGCCCTGACTTGGACCCGATCAAACATCTCTGGAGAGACCTGAAAATTGTTGAGCAGCGACGCTCCCCATCCAACCTGACAGAGCTTGAGAGGATCTGCAGAGAAGAATGGGAGAAACTCCCCAAATACAGGTGTGCCAAGCTTGTAGCACCATACCCAAGAAGACTTGAGGCTGTAATCGCTGCCAAAGGTGCTTCAACAAAGTACTGAGTAAAGGGTCTGAAGACTTATGTAAATGTGATATTTCCGGGTTCTTTTATATACATTTATAAAAATGTATATAAACCTGTTTTTGCTTTATCATTATGGGGTATTGTATGTAGATTGATGAGGGGAAAAAAACTATTTAATCAATTTTAGAATAAGGCTGTAACGTAACAAAATGTGGAAAAAGTCCAGGGGTCTGAAGACTTTACGAATGCACTGATAGGTACAGCAGATGCCCTTATTGTATGGGACACTTTTAAATGTGCTTTTAGAAGCCATGCAATTCCATACTCATCTTTAAAACAAAAGCAATTTAAGTCAAAATAGTTCATATTAAAATAAATAGAGGGACTAACAGTACAGATATATAGCAACAATAAAAAAATACCATAGAGGCACAGAATAAGTTAGAGGAAAGACAAAAAGAACTGGAGAAACATATTCAAGAAAGAGCAAGTGTAATATATTATCAAAATAAAACGAACTGGAATGAATATGGGGAAAATATATATATTTTTATGTGCAACATAGAAATGCTACCAAAAATAATTTACTGAAACTTGTTACAAATGACGGAGTCACCCATGATTCACCAAACAATATTTTGAAAGAGGAAGCAAAGTACTTTAAGCATATGTTTCCGTTTCAGTCTCCTCCATCTCCACTCACCGAAGTTAATTGTTAGGATTTTTTTATATTAATAATGTAAAATTAACAGCTGCACAGAAATACTCATGTGAAGGCCAAAGGAGGAACGTCTTGATGCAATAAAAGCCTTTAAGTCCGTGGAAACTCCAGGGCTGGATGGCATACCAGTTGAGGTATATCAAACCTTTTTTGATCTACTCAGAGGACCGTTATTAGCATGTATTAACTACTCCTATAAAAATGGTAGATTATCAGATACTCAACAAGAAGGTCTGATTTCACTATTACTGGAACAGGACCCAGGTGGTAAATATAAAGATCCAGTCCATTAAAAAAATGGAGGCCCCTTACACTAAAGTGTTGTGATGCAAAAATCCTAGCAAAATGCATAGCGCATAGAATTAAAAAGGTATTGTCGGATATTATTCATCCTAATCAGACAGGTTTTTTACATGGACTATACATTAAAGATAATATAAGACAAGTACGGGAAAGAATGGAACACTATGAAAAATCTGGGAAACCAGGCCTGGTATTCATATCTGACTTTGAAAAGGCTTTTGAGAAAGTACAACTGGAATTTATATATAAATGCCTGGAATATTTCAATTTTGGAGAATCTCTTATACAATGGGTTAAAGTTATGTATAGTAACCCATGTAAAATAGTAAATAATGGCTACTTCTCAGAAAGTATTAAACTGTCAAGAGGAGTAAAACAAGGTTGTCCACTATTGGCATATCTATTTATTATGGCCATCAAAATGTTAGCTATTAAAATCAGATCCAACAATAATATCAAGGGGCTAGAAATCCAGCGCTTAAAAAAAGGTGCAATTGTACACTGATGATTCATGTTTTCTTTTAAATCCACAATTTGGATTACAACCAAATTATGATGTGTTCTATATTACGTATTAGATCATAAAAAAATACAACTTTTACATTACAGTGTAGTTTACCAATAAAAGGGTCTGACGGTGACGTGGACATACTCGGTATTCTTATCCCGAAATAAATAAATGATCTCACTACAATAAATGTTAATAGAAAGTTACCAAAAATAGATAAGATCTTGCTACCATGGAAAGGAAAATACATGTCTATTTCTGGAAAAATCACCCTGATGAACTCTTTAGTCATATCCCAGTTTACCTATTTGCTTATGGCCCTGCCTATACCTAACGACTTGTTTTTCTAATTATATGAGAAAGAAATATTCAATTTTATTTGGAACAGCAAGCCAGACAAAATTAAACGGGCATATTTATATAATTAATATGAATTCGGAGGGCAGAAATGAAATATTAAAGCATTAGACCTCTCACTAAAGGCTTCAGTCATACAAAAGCTATACTTAAATCCAAACTGGTTCTCTAGCAGATTAGTAAGAATGGCCTTTTTCCCTTTCTTCAAATTACAACCTCTCACTTTTGGTTGTTTGAAAATGAAACAATCTCCAAAATGTCACTATTTTTAAAACAAGCCATAGAAAGTTGGTTCCAATTTCAGTTTAATCCACCTGAAAAGACAGAACAAATATTACAACAAATATGGTTAAAAACAAATATACTAATTGATAAAAAATGCATTATCTTTGGAGATATATTTTTTTTAAACAGTATAATCTTTGTAAATTATATCATGAATAGGACTGATGGAGTTACAGTGCATCCGGAAAGTATTCAGACCCCTTCCCTTTTTCCACATTTTGTTACGTTACAGCCTTATTCTAAAATTGATAAAGTAAAACATTTACTCATCAATCTACACACACTACCCCAAATGTGGAAAAAGTCAAGGGGTCTGAATACTTTCCAAATGCACTGTATGTCACATACGCAGCTAACAAAAATACAGGGACATTTCTGCTCTATCCAAAATTACAACCAATTAATTGCGGCATTACCAGAAAAATGGAAGAGGCAAGTGGAAGGGGGGAAAAGTAAGGAACTTGTCTGTCGGCCCTGCATTAAATACCAACATTGGTTAAAGAAAATTGTGATGAATAAAATAGTATTCCAGTTTCAGTTCAGGTCCAAAAAATGTACAGCTGTGCCATACAGATTGCAAAATAGTTGGGAAGAGATATTCCATGGCACATGGTTTATGAACTGATACACAAAACTACTCCGGATTCAAAACTTCGAGTTTTTTTATTTAAATTATTATACAAAATTCTTGCAATCAATAGAATGCTATATATATGGGGGATACAACCATCCCAGCTCTGCAGATTTTGCTGCAAAGAGACAGAATCATTAGATCCTTTGTTTTGGTACTGTCCATATGTAGCTTGTTTTTGGTCGTAGGTTGAGGAATGGCTGAAGAATTGTAACATTTACCTGGAGCTAACTCTGCAAATAGCACTGCTGGGTGATTTGAAGTCATAGTCAATCTGTAGAAACTATGAGAATAGAAAGGTTAAAACCTTTTGTGAAACATCACAGCACAGTTTCAAAATATATAGCAAATAGAAATCAAAACTAGATGGTGTTCAGTGATAGATGGGAGGGGTTGAGGGGAGCTGAAGGGTGGGACTAAAAATAACAAGATGATTAATGTACTGTGTCCGTAAGATGTATATACAGTGAGGGAAAAAAGTATTTGATCCCCTGCTGATTTTGTATGTTTTCCCACTTACAAAGAAATTATCAGTCTATAATTTTAATGGTAGGTTTATTTGAACAGTGAGAGACAGAATAACAACAACAGAAATCCAGAAAAACGCATGTG